TTTGATGCCACTGGTAGTGGAGGATTGTAATAAGGAGTGCCATCATATAAAGGATGATCATGTATCAGTTTCAACTAGTGCAAAGTATGAGCAGGACATAGGCTTTCCAATTGAAGCTACTTCCTCAGAACCGGAAGGCAATGATCAAATAACTGATACAGGAATGACTTCTGAAATTGGCATTACTAGTGTTTTTCTAAATAGTGCAGAGTTCGGTGCACGGTATTCAGAAGATCTGTGTTCTAGAGAGGAGATTCTCCCTTCAGCAAAACATGATGTTCTTACTGAGAACAGGGACGGGAAAGACAAACAATGTCATTTGTTGGTAACAAATCCTCATTCCACCTTTGATATACAGACTGTAGAGGCCATTCATTATTCTGATCAGCATGTTTTGGAGATACACAATGATTGTTTGAGTTGTAAGCATGATGTCCACAAAGAGTCAACCGAAAAAACTAAGTTGATTGAGTCTGTCTTCATCAAAAGTGAACAAACACCTCAGCTGAAAAATCAGAGCCCAAAGAAGTTTTATGACTGTTTGTTTGAAGGTGGAAGTTCTGAAGGTGTTAGTCTTAAAGTCAGAGGTTCTCCGAAAAGGGGAATGAGATCTCAATTTGAATGCACAGGGCAAGTAAATGAAGACTGTTCTAGATTCGTACTGAAAGGACAATTTCAAACCTTTAGTAACAGTTGTGCTGCTGTGCTGAATAACATATCTACTGATATGGCTGAGAAAGTTTCCAAAGGCGATCATGTTGAGTTGCTTGCAAACATTATTTTTCATGAAGAATCACAGAAGAAAGATGTAATTGGGACTGATTGTGATGTTCCTGAACAATCTTATGTTTATCAAAGTGAGTCCAGCTCAGCTAGTTGTGCTCTGCTAGAACCTGTAACTGAAAATGGAAGTGCAAATATGGTAGAAAATGTTGGACACAACCCCAAAGTTAATTTTGGTCCAGGCTTTGTCGAGATTGAGATGTCAGGTGAAAATCTTAAATGTCAGGTTGGCATGAGATCTGCATATGACAGCCAACTCAGTGGCCAAGCAGCTAGTTCAGAACTTAATTCATCTTTGACAGATAAAGCTCAAATTTCACCACCATTGAGTACCATCAAGTCTAAGACTGTTTGCTCTTTGAAAGAGGAATCAGCATTGTCTATTGAACCAATTCTGACTTTGTCAAATGAAAATGGCCAACAGCATGCAAAATTAGATTTAATGGAGACTAGTATTTTGCTCGAGGAAGCTGAAGCTGGTATGCCTCAAAAAGATGGTGGTCCTAAAGTGAAATGCAGCACGAATTTTGTCCTGGCATTCTCACCTCAAAAGAGAGGGATGCCAAAGTGTCTACGTAAGTACTTACTTGAGATCAGTTCATCAGCATTTATATGTTAATTTTTATTTCCTTCTTGCTTCTAGTTTCTTAATTTCAAAGAAACTTGAATTCTGAAATTCATTTTAGGGCTTTTGTCTTGTCTGTTTATTTGCATCAGCTGCAAGGGTACTGGAGATAGTAAGAAGCTAGATACTCTTATGATAAAGCCTCCACCACATGCTGTACCATTTTCTGACGAATGGTTAGCTGCATTTGAAGCTGCAGGGGAGGTAATGTTATCTTCAAGTTGTGCTCACCTTCCAAAGCAAGATCAGAAGTAAACAAAAGAATTGTGTTTGATAATGCACTCTGTCAGGGCACAAATGACCACTTGCACTTTTAACTAAGCAGTTGCTGTATATATATATTTTTTGATGAAGAAGCAGTTGCTATTATGAATTTATAATGTAGAGAATAAGATAGTGCAGGAGTAGACAATTGGCACAAATGGTAGCACTAGAATTTCTGATTCACTCTTTTGTAAATTTCCAAGTGAGGTTGCTCCTGTCCCTCAACCCTTTCATGGCAAGCCATTAACTTTAGGCCATAAACTTATTGAATATAACTTTCATTTATTTGGATTTGCAAATATTACTATATGTTATGTATGAACAAAGTAAGTTTTGTATACCTGATATCAAGCATCTTATTTAACCTTTTTACAGGAGATACTAGCCCTGAAGAGTGGCGCTGTGCAAAATTCACCACCTCAGCAGTCTCTCCCTGAACCTGGTCCTTGGTCACCGGTATGATCCTGATTTCCAAATGACCAGATAATGAAAGTAGTTTCATATTTTTTCATCCGAAATCCTCAAAACCTTGTTCTGGCTTGGTGAATAGGTTGTCTAGTAACATGCCATTTCTCATGTCTGCTAATTTTTATCAGAAAAGCTACAACCATTTACTCAGTAATCTAGCTGATACTGTATGAGTGCGTTGATTATTGTTATCTTTGATGGGAGTTGCAAGTTGTAAACCTGCAGCAAGTTCTAATTTTGTTTACTAAAACTATAACGATATTCTGCACAATGTGTTTGTTTTTCAGGTTAGACGAAAAAACAATCAAGAGATTGGACCATTTGACTGTACAAAATTCACCAATACACAACATCTCACCTAGTTTTTGATTGAAGAGATGGGTTCAACCTAACCATTCTTTCTTTTTTTCCTTCTTTTTTGGTCACTAACAATGTGATTTGACACGAGAACCACGCAGTGTGCAAGTTTTCCGGAAAATAACTGCCATAGTTTTTATGGCGGCCTGCTCACTTTTCTTTTCCTTTATGGTTCCATATCAACCAATTGTAAGTTTGTACTATTGATGTAAGGACCTCAAACACGCCTTCGATGAAAATTTATTGGATCTTGCAACAACCAATATCTTCTGTATTAATATATTTCAGCAGTGATGGCGAAGATACTTTTAGTTCTGCAATGATGATATAAGTTCGTATGGCTTTTCAATTTATCTATAATATTCTATCAATGAACAGGAGCTTCCTATTTTACCACAATACAAGTGTTACTATGGGGTTGCATAGATTACATAGCAAATTATTATTTTTTCATTAAGGTGCTTCTAGCTCTGCCATTTTGTGATGAATGCTTTTGCATTTTAGGTCATACATGTATATATATTTTCCAAGAGGAGGTTATTCATAAAATTTGAGTTTGTCAACTTTTTACGTTGGAAGTTTCATAATATTTGGAGAGCTTGTTATAAGATTAGCAAGTTAAAGACCAATGTGAAGAGACGAGTAATTGAAAATTATTACAACGAAGCCTCTTCTTTGGTTCATCGGTGACCTTATCACCTGTTCGGATTCAATTATTTGAGGCCAAAACGATCATCAATCTCCTACTTCTCCATATTTTGGTAACTATAACACTTGGCACAAATTAGAAAATAACCGAAGTTCACCATTTCTATCGTGGCGAACAACCAGTAGACATTGTCTAGCTTACCGTTGTTAATATTATCCGGTAACCAGACAGTAATTCTTCGAACTAGGTCAATCACCACGGTGCTCAACAAGTATGCAATTCCCACAACCAATGAAACCATTGCTGTAGATGTGCTTTTCAGAGATTTTGGGAACTGTTGATAGTAAAATGTAACTTGTCCAGGAAAATGGAATGCCTCTCCTATGCCAACAACAAGCAACTGTGGCATCAGCCACAACACCAGCATCGGAACAGAGGAACCGGGCTGGTGAACTATACCATGGGATCGAGCTACTTTGTGCCTTTTGGACTCGACTAGCGCTGCAACACCCATTCCTGTCATGTTGAACATATGGCCGAGAGCTATGCGCTGAAGAGGCCTCAGTGTTTGATGTGTCATCTTCTTCCACATAGGATAAAAGAACCGGTCAATAAGAGTGATTGAGATGGAAGTCGAGGTTAGTATGACGACAAACATGGAGCCTGCTGGGAATTTGAAATGTGGTCCGAGGTGACGATCCACTGTTAGTGCCTGGAGGACCGTCAAGGTACCTAGGGTTGGTACTGCCGTGCATAATAAGAAATTGCTTGAGATCACTGGGAAAATTCTCAATATGGTTTTAAGGTCTTCAACTTGCTGCACTGAACACAACCTCCATATTTTTGCAACCGAGCCATCTGGTTTGGTATCTCCTTCGATACAAACTGCAGCATGGTTTAGGAACCTGCATGGCTTAGCTCAGATAATCAAATCATGACATAAACACTTATCACTGTTTCTTTTTATACATTGTGAATGTCTTTTAGAAAGCTTGTTCTAGAACAATTTTGTTTTCCATTCATCTGGCTTAACTCAAGCTAAAAATATATAAACTAAATCGAATAACTCCTTAGTAAAGTTAGCAACAAAATTTTGTCAAATTGCGGAACAGTTTTCCAATGTCAACTATGCCATATAACATAGCATTTACTCCAACAGGCAGTTTTTAAGGATTGGAAAAACAAGAGAACAGAGAATGTGTAGGAACCAAGAAATACCTGAAGCTTTTTGTAGGAACTGAAGCCAACTTCTCTACTTCCTGACTATTTTTCTCATGATAGTAGTCTTCACTTGATGATATTGAAACTTTCCACTTGCGAATAGTTGCAATTAACACACGAGCTATGCTTTTAAATGGGCTCCCCTGAGGCTTAACAGGTCGATAATAACGACTTCCCGACAAGAAAATGGCTAAGCCAATTATGTTAACAAATATACATAGGGAATATCCTAGCGGCCAACTCACATTTTCCTCAATATAAACAAGAATTGTGCCACCTAATACAATAGAGCCATACAAGGTGATCGCAAACCAGTTGAAAAAAATCCCTTGATCCGTAGCATGGTCAAATTGATTAGCCCCCATAGTTGCGATTGTAAAGCGTGAGCCTGCAAGTCCAATTGATGCTAGAGCTATGCCAGAGAATAAGACTCCGAATTGAAGCTTTGATGGAGTTGGGCAAAAGTTTGATCCATTTTCACAAGACTGAGGCCTCAGGGGATCAAGTATAGCAGTTAAGGCTAAAAGGGTAATGCCCTGCAAGTGAAAACTTGAACCAGTAATGAGTTGATAATCCCAGAATCAAATTGAATGAATGATGGCTGATACTGTTGATTATAGTATATGTATTTATACACAGCAGAAATATGGTTATAAAAATAAGAAAGATAACAGTGTATGAGTCAAACTGTACCTATTGACACGCAGTGAAACAACAGTCATATATTATTATCAATATTTTGTGATTAATTTTTATCCCTTCACCCTCCGCAACTTATGTGGGGTAAGACACGATAAGAGATTAACCAATTGATTCTAGAAAGGTAAAATAATTCTAAGATTTTGGTCAAGATAGCATTAGACCAACGAATCTTCTAACCAAAGCTTTATCCAGTTAGTCTTGTCTGTAAAGCAGGACTAGTTAAGCTTTTTACCCCAAAAGGATAACTTTTTCATTGTTTCCCAAAAAAATATCTATACATGTCGTTTGACTTCTAAAATAAAGCAAGAAAGGTCCAGTTATTTTTATCATTCAAAAGCAGCACATCTAAAGGAACAAAGTGATTAGTGGTAAAGATTCATATCAAATCACTAAAACTTTTCTAACAAGCTGTGATGGCTTCGACTCTTAAATTTTTAGTGCCCTATTCATAGCGGATGCAACAAACACATTATTGATTTGGGTGTAGACTTTGTATCCAAAACCTGCTATGCATGTCGGACACTTGATTATCTATAACTAGAGATTATGATTTATGATCTAGGGGAATATGAAGATGATGACTCTTGGATAAAAAGTTGAAAAGAACAATAAACAAAAATAACTGTTCTTGAATGTCTAAATTTTGTTTCTTAATAATAAATACAGAATCATTTATATGTTAGTTAGTAATTAGTATTACATTCTTTATTATTTATACTAAGCCATCTACTAAAAAATGATATTTTGTTTCATATATGAAATCTCCATAGCTTACTAAAAGCTTAGAGGTGTGGTTTTATTATTTTTCATATCAAATAAATCTAGTTATCCTATTAAATTTCTTAACTCTTCCCATATCTTCAATTATAAAAATTATTAAGCCAGACACTTAAACTCCATACTCATGGTAGCCAACAAGAAAAGAGAGAGAGTTATGTTACCAGAGTAGAAACAAGAGCAGACGCCCAGATGAAAGAGTAGCATTCTACAAAGGAATCTGAAATAATTGCTACTATAACTGGAAATAGACTTGTGGAAGCAGCAATAATGTTATAGATCTGAGTAGCATTGATGCTCTTCACATTGAATTTCTCTATCATATACACAACCAAGCTTGTGGCCCACCCACCCATTGCAATTGTTAAACCCATTAATGTCCCTGGTAATTTCAACCAAAAAAGCACAACATTTTTGTTAACGAAGTTAGTACTGCAGTACCGAAAAAGAAAAACAGTTAAAAACTCCAATGTTCTCCTTGCATGCAAGTAGAAATTCGATGGTAGTTAATATATGGATCAACTACAATTATTGTTAATCAAGGAAAATAGTTCGTGATAAAGACAAGATGTGGCGGTGAATAGTTTTTCTGAAAGCTTAAACTTGATAAGAAATTATGTATAGAATCTACTTGACTAGATTTGAGTTTTACCAAGTTTAAATAAGATCTCTTTTTGTTAAAATTTTATTTTGTAAAAAGTGTCTCGCATAAAAAAGATGATAACATCTTCTTAACATTAAGAAAATTCTCTCTACTCTGATCAATCTTGGATGAAGAATTTTTCATATATCATGTAAGTCTATGATCAGAGTGGATTTTATAGCTTAAGAGAGTGGTAGAGCTATTTTGAGTCCAAGCACCACTTAACTAATAACCTTTTGAATTGACTCTCAAAATTCAATTTAAATTATTTATAATAATTTAAATTTTTATATAGAACTCAACAATCACATCGCGTATGTAAAATTGAGTATCATAATTTTCACCAGTTAATTCTTAATGTCCTCGTAATGGCTATACATATCAATTTTAATTCACACTCCAAAAGCTCATGAGGTCCAAGATCACTTTAGGACGGAATCAATGAGCTAAAATCATTAGTCCCCACCAATATCTTACCTCCTCTCATATGAGAAAGTAAGTTGGACAAAAACAATTATGTAATAATCGTAAGTAAGAGAAAACACAGTACCTTGCAATGTACAGTAGTATTTTCCTAAACTTCAATGAAGAAAATAGAATGAAACGTACCGGCCATGAAGGGAAAAGTAACCCAGCCACCCCTGTTGCTACCAGGAGATGACATTTCTTCTTGTTTCTCACTAGAAACTCCATCTTCCGCATTGCAGCTCAGTTCAAGTGAGCCATCTGACTCTGTTAATGCCATTTTGAGCTATGCAGTCCACCTGTTCGACAAAAGGCTCTTTATATAAAACTTCGAAATCCTGTTTGCAGATTCTCCACCAGTTAGTGAGGTTGACGTTGGTATATATAACACTATAGCTTCGAATCAAATGAGGAAAAAATTAGCAAAAAAATCTGTAGAACTTTACAGCAATTTATCTGCCTTGTGCCGAACAAGGACGTTGAAGGATTGCAATGAGCAAAGCTGGGGGATCATGGTGATGACAGAATATATATAAATATAGATATTATGCGAGTGTTGCTGGATCCACTGTGAATGATAAGGTGGTGAACAATGCAGATAACGATTTCCAGACAAGTTTCTCAACATCATCTTCTTGAATTCAATGATGGAGAAGTAACAGATGAGCATCAGATGCCTGGTGCACAAAAAGTGAAGATGATTCTCCATTTCTTTTCCTGCAAGTATCAGATTTAATTGTTTAGTAAGTATTAAATGAGGAAGTCTATTGAAATGTTATGCAAGATGCTTGCCCAATTTGGTTTCTATCATTCTTTGAAAATATTAGTAATTTAATAATTAAAGAAGTGCACTAACAAAATGATCAAATATTATGTGATAATAAGTCGACAATTGCAACTAGTGATAATCCAGTTAGTCATATTAGGATCAAAGACATTGCCATCAAGCACCATTGCATCCAAGGACCGCTCGAGCGCCAAGAAGTACAACCCACATTTTGTAAAACAAACTTTCAGCTGGCTGATATCTTTAAGGCATTGATTGACAAGAGAAAAATTGGTACATAATCGGAAACTGATCAGTGTCAAAGAAAATGAATCAAGGAGTTTGTTATATTTGACCACGATCCGACTGGACATCATGTTTGCAATTTGGAGGCATTAGTTTGTTTTTCAATGAGGAGACTTAAACGCGAAGAAATAATAGAAGCTTAATTTGGGTCAGAAATAAAAATTTGGAAAGCATCAAAATTGAAATGAAATGAAATGAATTGAAGAAAATTGTAAAATACAGCTGACTGAATTTAACATTTAGTTACTGTATAACTAATAAATTTTATTCCATACTAATAATTTTATAAAATATTAACAGAAAAAAATGTATAGTCAAAAGTGGAGGTATTTTTTTGTCTAATTTTGAGTTATAAATATGAGTTTGTCCTTTTTTAGAAATAGAAAATCTAACTCCGAGACTATAAAGTAGTAATAGACAAATACTCTATTTACAGATATTTAGAAGAACCATAATAATACGAGTCTTATAACAAGTTTTATACAAATACAAAGTATTAACTGAGAGATACTAACTCCAACACCAGGAAGTGTTAATAGATAAATACTTTATCTATAGAAATCTATAAGAACCACAAAAATATAAGTCTTATAATATGTTTTATACAAATACAAAGTATTAACAGACAATTCTAACTCCGACACTATAGAGTATCAATAGACAAATAGTCCATCTATAGATATCTACAAAAACTATAATAATACGAGTCTTGTAACAAGTTCTACAGAAATACAAGTAAGATGTTGAGATACATGGCTTATACATCTTACATCAAGACAGGCATGTACTGCTTTGATCATACCATCATCATCATCACTGCTCAGAAATATAAACATCCTCGACCTCTTTTTCAACATTCTGATATTTGTACAAACTCGAGCAGATTAAATAGTATCCGAAATTGAGAACTCCCACCACAACTAGAGTCCAGAAAACATTATCAAGTCTCCCATTGTTTATGTCATCTGGTAGCCAACTTGAAATCCTTCTAAGTAGATCAATCAAAGCCGTGCTCAAGTAAAAACTAATTCCAATTATCAGAGAAATCAGCGTGGTCCCTGTGCTCTTGAGAGGCAGAGGAAACTCTTGATAGTACAATGCAACTTGTCCGGGAAAATGAAATGCTTCTCCGATGCCAACCAGAACTAGTTGTGGAAATAGCCACCATGCCATAATTGGCACTGTGTTAGATCCAGACATGGCTTGGACATTGTGGCTGTGAGCTATTTTGAGCCTCTTTGATTCAACCAGTGCTGCTACTATCATGCTGAACACATTCAACACATGTCCTACTCCTATTCGATGGAGAGGAGTTGGGTATCGATGGGTACATTTGTGCCACATGGGAAAGAGGAGCCTATCGATGAGGAGGAGAGATACTGAAGTGGAAAACAGAACAAAAACAGGAAAGGACCCAGCTGGGATTTTGAAGTTTTGGCCAATATTACGGTCCATGGTTAGAGCTTGAAGCACAGTGAGACTTAATAGGATTGCAATTGGGGTGCTCAAGAAGATGCTGCTTGACCATAGTGGGAAAATTCTGATTATGACTTTGAGATTTTCTACTTGTTGCACTGAGCATAGCCTCCATGGTTTTAAAATTGAGCCATCTGGTTTTATATCTCCTTCAGTTATCAATGCTGCAGCATTTAAAAACCTGCATTATTAAAAAACATTGGTAATTCTTTAACGTTAATCAATGATATTGAAGGTCAGTTGGGTAATGAAGATTCTATTAAAGCAGCATCATATCAACAGGGGGAGAAAAGGGGGATTCATGATTAGCAATTGCTTTCATGTAGGATTTAGTTTGTTCAATGCTCAAGAGAACTTGATAGGCTTAGTTTTGCACTTGCCGAAGAAATTCTATCCAATTAATGGATTACAGAATATGAGATAATATACTTTCCCTTTCTGCTTCCAACAAGAAGTATGAAGGCATTTGCCCTGAACTTTTATACAAAATTTGCTCATACTTACCACCACCACAAGCTCCTTTATCAACCACCACAAGCTCCTTTATCAGGATGTGAATTTAACATTTGTGCACCAAAAGAAATGCACATACTACTATTCTTTAACAGGAACTCAATAGTTCCGAAAATATCCAACAAAGGCTTCCTTGCAAGAAAACCTGTTCTATATAACGAGGTGGATAAGATTATTTAGTCAGTGGGTTGACAAGCATAACTGACCAGG